ACAAATTTCAGTTTTTCGAAATTTTGAAAAAACCAAATTGACAAAAAAATCGAAAATAAACTTTTTCGTTGTGTTGCCAATACGCAACTTTTTCACACTATTCCAAATCAAAATTCCGAAATTGTTAAAATTCGGCCCACCTTAATACTCAGCTAGTTTATTCCTTTGGCGAATCTGAGATGAATAGAGCTTGTGCGAATATAAATGCAGATATTTTTAATCTCATAACAATTTCTAACAAGTATTATCTAGACATAAATCCAACCAAATCTAATATTTAGTTATTTGGTAAAATCGGAGCTAAAAATAGAGTATCACCCCGAATCAATATAGTCATAGGAAATAGTAGGTTGGAGCTGGTCGAATCTTCTAAAAAACTTGGGCATTTACATTGATACGGCTTTAAATTTTAAAACTCAAGTTAATAGCATTATTAAAATTTTTTTTAGTAATGTAAAGTTACTGTACTCCTATAGACATCTGTTATGCCGGAAAAATAAAACCGCATTGTGTGAGGCTCTAGTTTTATCGCATCTCAATTATGCCAATACTCTGTATACATATATGGTCCTTTTCTTATACAGCGGGATATCAATAGGCTTCAGCTTATTCAAAATAGCTGGGTTATACTTATATTTAGTATTCGCAAATTTGACCACGTTTCTAGCTATTACAAGGAAATCGGTTGGCTCAATATAAAAATAGAGATCTACTACATAGTTGCTGCTTTTTTCATAAAGTTATATTTTACAAAACTCCACCTTATCTTTATAATAAAATAAGATTCAAAAATGATATTCACAATATTAATGTTCGATTTAAAAATGTTGTACACAAATCTGAGGCATACAAATCTTGTTTTTCATACCAATGCTGCTTATACTACAATAAAGTTCCGGTTTATTTAAAAACTTATAAACCAAAAAAATTTAAGTTCTCTGTAAAAAATTAATTATCGATTATCTGTTATTATAAGTGTATAAATTTTATGTAATTAATAAGATTATTTTTTATAACTATTACGGGAATGTTGTGTACATGTTTAGAATATTACTTATTAATTGTTTTTTAGTTAATTTTTATGGTTGAGTGGAAGAGCAGACACTTCAGTCTGAACTATGCCTTTGACAGACTGTCATCTATTCTTTAGTCCTTTTTGGGATTGATAGCAATGATGTGGGATTTGGAGCTCAGTTGTTTCAAGTGATCGACGGTCAACGAGAAGTGGTGGCATATGCCAGTCGCCTTCTCTTGGAGCGGGAAAGAGCTTGGAGTACCACGGAAAGAGAGTGCGTTGCGATAGTCACTTAATATAATAAGTGGCGCATCTATTTATTGGAATTCAAATTCTTTGTTCTTACCGATCATAGGGCTCTGTCGTTTTTAAATTCCTGTCGGCTGCTTTCTTCCAGAATTACACCCTGGGTTCTTGCTCTTCAAGAGTTTGAATTTGAGGTAAGATACGTGAAGGGCAACGAAAATATTGTCGCAGATTTTCGATATCCTTCTTCGCGTCCTCCTGTGCCATCTGACAAATGTTTCCGCATTTTGTGTACATCAATAAAGTTTCCGGTTGCATTCCGCGAGTCTTTAAAATCATTACGTGAAGATCAATTGTCTGACCCAAAATTATCACGTATTATCACACAGGTTAAGGAAAATCCTGAAAAAAATGTCTATTTTGTTCTTTATCAGAATCTTCTTTTTTCTTCGGCAAGGTGATGATGATCGCTGCCTTTTATGTATACTAAAATTACGGGTACCAGAGAATAAAGGTTTTAGTAATTTTGGGCATTTTGGTGTCTTTAAAATTGGACAATCCTAAAAAGAAAAGTTTGGTGGCAAAACATGCATAAAGACGTTAAAAAAGTTGTAAAAAAAATGTGAAATTTGCCAAGTCGCTAAACAATCATTGTTGCCACACTTTTCAGCCAATTTTGCCGAAGGGGCCAAATGATTTAGTAGCATTAGACTTATATGGTCCACTGCCACGTTCCCGGGACAATCGTACACGCGGACAATCGTACACGCGGATTGTTACTTTTCAAGTCGGAAACCTCGTGTTACTAAAAGCTTATCCTATATCATGCCTTTATTTGAAGGCCCTTATAGAGTAAAATCAGTTCTTTTTGGGAATACTTATATTTTGGAAAATGCGAAAAATGGTGAGGAGCGCGGTATGTTTCATCCTCCAATTTAAAGTTGTTTCATGGGAAATAAGTAATAAATAAGTTTGTTAAAACATTAAAATAAATAGTGTTATCAGACTGGGGGGGGTAGTTGTAACGGATTGAGCACCTTAGGCCTAAAACCTAAAGGTATTTAATTTTGCCTAATGCAATCTTGGTTGCCTAACATTCGTCATTTCATAGGGGACACTCTGTAGATATATTTGTACGAATTTGACATCGTGATCTTCTTGCGCCTTCTGCGTGTGACTACGTTGATGAAACTTTCCAAATCTTGGTCATCCTCTGGATTTTTCGTGATATTTTAATTATATTTAAAATTCCATAATCTGGTGCTATTAATATTTTGTGAATGGTAAAACTGTTTAATATTTTAAATTTTAATTTACGTTTCAAACGAAGTCAAGTTTGATATATCTATCCCGTCTTGCGGGATGGTTTACGGGCTCTTTCTGTAATTACTACTGTTGCTTAATTAAAGAAATGCCACCAAAAACCTATTGCCTATTTTCTGTCAACAACCAATACGCTACGCTACAATATAGGTATATCAAAAATCTTAATATTAGTAAAACTTTTTAGGCGGCGACGAGAGTCCTTTGTCTATTTAGGAATGACACGTTTAAGATTATTTTGTTCTAAGCTATATTCTATATGCTATACAATAAAGCCAGTTAGTGCGGGTGCTAGGGTGTGGGCGGAAGACCGGTCGCAATGTTTACCAAGTTTACAAACAAGAGCGTATCCGGGTTTTTTATTTTATATTTGATCCACATCACATAGATATGCAAAATTTAAATTTTTATTAATGCAAATACAAGTTGATTAACAGGAGCGTATTATTATTATTATTATTATTATACAGTAGGGTGTGTCACATGTCTATTTTAACTTAATAGGTCTTAAAAGTTGTGTAAGGCCTATAGCTGCTCAAAAATGTAAAAAACGTAAATATTTTTCTTTATCTTTAGCTCGCTCAAGCAGCCTAAAGAATAAAAAAAAAATTTCGCCAGACATTAACATTTTTGTATCTATTTTAAAGTTTTAATTACTTTAAATTAATAGTAACTACATTAACAAGGTAATTCAAAAATTATTTATAAGTAAGTATAAAAAATTATTGCTAAAAAAGGCCTATAGCTGCTCAAAAATGTAAAAAACGTAAATATTTTTCTTTATCTTTAGCTCGCTCAAGCAGCCTAAAGAATAAAAAAAAAATTTCGCCAGACATTAACATTTTTGTATCTATTTTAAAGTTTTAATTACTTTAAATTAATAGTAACTACATTAACAAGGTAATTCAAAAATTATTTATAAGTAAGTATAAAAAATTATTGCTAAAAAATACAAAACTCTCTTGCTTAAAACAGTGTAAACTAAAAATAAACAACCCTAGAAACCCATAAAAGAAACATAAAATTTATAAATATGTAAATAATAACTTATTTAAAATCTTTCTTTAAATTAAATTTTGGCATCACCTTCCTTGAATTTTGTCTTGCGCAAATATATCCATCACGAGACTTTTCACCGGCAACAGAACCTGATGCTTCAGTGGTTAATTTAACACACCTCTCTACCGATTGAGTATGGCAAGAGAATTTAGGAAAATTAAACATTTTTATATTTTCGTCCTTCACTATTTTTTTCAAATCTTCAGTAGTTACTTTAGGCAAGAGAGGCGGTTCTGTTAAAATTAGGTTTGAGCTCTACCAGTCAAATAAATCATAGTAAGTATTACTGTCAAAGTCTATCTTAAGAATTTTAAAAGATGTTACCCCTGAATGTTTCAAAGGTCGAGCTTTTATAATTCTCCTGCACCCAAGTTCTCTTATATGTTTATCATTATCAGTAAGCATTGATAGAAATATATTTTCGGGGTGACCGAAATATGCATTTCTTTCAATTACCGGATGTACTATATTCTTTGTATTATCTTAAAGATATCTCGTATAATTAATCATGAACCATAGATTTCGGGCCGCATCCTTGCAGGAACTGTTGCACTTTATTTGGAACCATGTAGGAGCATAAACTTTGCTAACAAAAGTCGCCAAGATCTTTAGATTGGCTGTTGGATTTTTAGTGGCAACATATAAACGTAAAATTATATTGCCGACTGTGAGCCACCTGGCATGAGACATCTTCCCTGGGTTTCTCCTTGCTAAATCAATAGGTATCACACCATTTGATACAGCTAAAAATAGATCATATAAATATTGCTGGTCAGTGCTTAATTTTGCACATGACAGGTCTGGTAAGGACACTTCAATTGCCTCAAACTCTGTTATAGAAAGATTTTGACATGTTTTTAATTTTTTTCCTATTGGCCCTGAAAATTCTGTAGGCCCTGTAGTGGCTCCATCTAAGTTATTTAATAAATGTCGTAATGGCAATTCGTTGGCGTGCAGTTGGCAGATAAGCCATTGAAGTGGCCTATTAAATCTCTTTTCCATCCTTCAAATTGTACCATTTTTTCTTCCCGTGTACTTTTTCTATAACATCCCACAGCAACCAAACTGTCAAGTGGATAATTTTCATTTATATATTATGTTTAGCAGTTCCGGTCGGTGAAGTTACATGGCCAAGGTAAACGGATCCAGGTTCTTGTTCTAGAGTAATGTGATCTTCTACTTTAACTTTACGGAATAATTTTCGTCCTTTTTTTTACAAAATAAATAGTTTTGTCTTTACGCCCATCGAAAAACAAAGCTTCAATCTCTGTAAATTTGCGATTTCTCAATAACTTATTTCTTCTTCGAATTCTGTCGCGTCTCAATTTAGAGTGATCTATGACATATATGTCATAGATCACTCTAAATTGAGACGCGACAGAATATATGAAGATTTATTTTTTGAAATCAAATTTACATCTTGAAGAGCTGCCGACGCAATGGCAGCTCCTGCTCTGTATGACACCCCATAACGGTCGCAAGTTTCGGATAATTTATTGAAAATCAGTGGGGTTAATTTCTTCTTTTTTTTGAGATTCGAGATGGTCGACCATGTTGGCGTTGGCTCATTGTATTCTTCGTCTTTCGTTAAAATTTCTGATTCATCTGTAGAACTCTCTGTAGGCTGTCTTGAAGTAGAAGGTACCGGTTCTGTATTCTTAACCTTAGTTTGAGCTCTTTCTATTTTTCTGCGAAACTTCTGTGTGGTTTTCTGATCAACATTTCCTATAATCATTCGTCGTAGACTACGATGATCTTCCACAGAAGTGCGCTCTTGATTTGGAACTGACTTTAGTTTAACACATTTACATGCAGCTACTTCAAAAAGTTGGTGAAAATTGTGAAACGTAGGGAGGTGGGTACATCTTCAATTCACAACAAGTGATGGTGGAAGTCTGTAAGACTGCTCGATACCTTGGAGTAAATTTCTCTAACCTGTAAAAGGGATTAATTATCGGCAGTGCTTTTTGGATAAGGCCGAATTACGTTGTTGAATTTTCCGTTGTGTACAGTGCTTAGATCCGCAGCATTTGCTGGATGTTCGCAGATTTCTAACCTACTCGAATCTACAAGCCATCTTCCATCTTGGGCTTTGTTAGCTAATTTTAGCTGAAAAAACCCTTTTAACTAATATTAAGAAAATTAAATTTTCAATTAATATATGGTTGGTCTTTATTTCTCCCAAAATAAATATATTTGTTATCTAGATTTCGGCTACTATTTTTGCTATCACCAGACCTATACAATAATTGTTGTGTAAGTCTTAAAATAAATAAATAATAGTAACTTTGTACTTACATTAAACATAACCAAGCATATTTAAAACTTATTAAAACATTTTATATTAAAACCTAAAGGGCGATATCACAAATTCTAAAAACATTATTATATCTTAGACAATTTTACATTTTATTACTAAATACAGTCATTTTTTGTAAAATTTGGGGAGGGGCGGTTAACATTTATAACAAATGAATTAAGGAAACTAATGTTTAGTTATGTGAGTTAGTAGGTTGTCTATACTATTTAATTTATTTTATTTATTTAATTTTTATCGTATTACAATTTTTAATAAAGGGCAAGAGGTAAATTAAAGAATTTTGTTTTATTTAAGTAAAAGACCTGAGAAGATTGGATTTTGTTCGAAGTTTAGTTGTTGGTTAAGTAGTAGATTTGGATTAATCTTATGTTCTTTGTAGATTTCAAGTGCTTCTAGGTTTTGTGAAAGAAAAGAGTTGTTAACTTTGTGTAAAACAGTAAAAAATTTTTTATTATCGTACATGTGATTATCATCTTTTTAAGTAACTTGCGTAGTGTGAAACACTAGTGCATCCTCTTAAAATTCTCAAGTGTTCATTGATGCGGGTTTCAAAATTCCTACCTGTCCGTCCTATGTAAAATTGATCACAAGAGCCATATTGTAACTGAAATACCCCTTTTTATCTTGTTTATCTTTGTTGTTAATAAACAGTTGGCCTATGGAGTACAATATTTGCTACAAACAACAAATTGCGTAATGTATAAGAAATACTACCAATAAAGGTAAGTGATCTCCATTTATTATTATTGTTTAACATATTATTATCAGTATTAATAATATTTGGATTATTGTCAGGGTTGTTTATGTATATTAAATTGTTAATTTTTGTTCAATTTTATTTATCATTTTATGAATCATGTCTAAACTTAAGTGATGTGTAGCCGCAATTTGTTCAATTATTTTTAATTCTTTTTCGAAAGCTTCTTTAGAAAGAGTTACATAACACTGTGCAACAATTTTCGGGCCATCGAAATCAAACCGCACCGGACCATTTTTTTCTGAAAATATACCTATCCAATAGCAAAACCCTCGCTGGGTTTGTAAAAGTTAGCTCGAATTTTTTTTTTATGGCCGTTTGTATTTTCGATCTTCATATACCCCAATTTAGACCTATAAATCGATTTTTTTCGCATATATTCGATTTATCTCGTCAAGATTTTTTGTAGAAATATAGTTACAGCACAAATAAACCCATTTTGTGAACAACCTTTATCCCAAAAACCCAATTTTTGGGACCAAATATTCAAAAAAAAAATTGATAATATTTAAAATTTCTTGGTACTTCTTCTGGCAAAAATGTTGTAAAGTATACTAAAAGAAGTAATTTATAAAATACGCACACAAAACTGAACTTTAAGTTTGCTTATTTGATGGAAAATAATGTTTAAACAAGATATTCCAAAATATTCATATTTTCACACAACACCAAATATTTTGCCATAAAATCTGTAGGAAAAAATTGAATAGATAAAATAGAATTGTAGAAATGTACAGAGAGTTTGATTTTTATTTTGTATTCATTTTATTATATCAAAACATTGAGTAATCTGATTCATTGCTGAAGAATTCTATCCCTTCCACTTTTTTTCCTTTATTTCCTAGCTCTTCATTTTAATTTTTTGATTCATCACTGGATAATTTCATCCCTTCCACTTCTTCTCCTTTATTTTCTTGTTCTTCATTTTTATTTTCTTCCTGATCGTAGTCAAAAATATGTTTACTTCACCAAAATGTTTCGGCTAGGCTGGAGCTCGTTTTCCTCTTTATCTGGACTCAAATGGCATCGCAGTTTGATTATTGTGTCGATAACTGTCGACTGAAGTAGTCCAAATGGGAAATGAATTTTTAGCGACATATTGACTCCAATTTTGAAAAAATACATCCAACATTCGTCGCACAGATCCTTCATAATTGGGAGAACGATGTTTGCCTAAAAGTCCAACGATGATTTCTCTTATCGACGCCCACGCAACTATCTCATTGTGAACCAAGGCCCTGTCAAAGTCTTCATACTTTAGCAATTTCCGAATATCAGGACCATTTAAAACGCCTGAAATGAAATGAATATAAAAAATATATAAAATGAAGGGATGGAATTCTCCAGTGATAAATCAAAAAATTAAAATGAAGAACAAGAAAATAAAGGAGAAGAAGTGGAAGTGATGGAATTCTCCAGCATTGAATCAGATTACTCAATGTTTTGATATAAAAAAGTTTTTTAATAATAAAATTAATACAAAATAAAAAACCAAACTCTCTGTACTTCTATTTTATCTATTCAATTTTTTCCTACAGATTTTCCAAAGATTTCTACAAAAAATTTGGTGTTGAGTATGAAAAGATGAATATTTTGGAAAATCTTTTTTAAAAATTGTTTTCCAGCAAATAAGTAAACTTAAAGTTCTGTTGGGTCTTGACTCTTGAAGTGTAAGGACGCTCAAAGATAGTTAACGAGACCTCTCCTAAGCAGCGTATACGATACAAACGTAGTAAAGTATCAAAAGCGAATCTAAGTATGCGGAAATACCGGTAATCGGTAATAAATAAATAAATAAATAAACAAACAAGTGCGAAAAGTGCAACAAGTGCAAAAAGTGCGCCGTAAAATAACAAAAAATCAATATCGATTCTACACGTGATAACTGGTTAACGCCGTAAAATAATAAAAAATCAATATCGATTCTACACGTGATAACTGTCCCAAGTGCAAAAGAGTGCAAATTGTGTGTGGTACCTCCCCCTGGACTAAGTTCTCTAGTGTTTGACCTGGTTAAAAGGTGTGAGAGAGACGATCAGTTTCTGGGCTACCACACGTGCGGGCGGCTTGCGATAAGGATCAATTTCAGCACTCCTGCCTGGCAAATATCCCGAAGTCCAAGTCTGCATAAACTAGATAAGTAGCTACCAAATTGCATGACCATGACCACTAGGGTGATTCAAAAAAAGCCTTTTTTTAAAAATGAACCCGCACTGGCCTAAATTATAAAGATTACATTAAAACTAAAAGATTAATACCAAAAAATCCAAATTCGATGAATATTTAGAGGTCGCTCAAATCGATTTTCGTATTTTTGCACATTCGAGCCGCGAAATTATTACTGCGCAAAATAGTAAATAACTCCGTTAGTTTTTATTCGATATTATTAAAAATTTAAGGGTTACCTAGTTTTTTAATACCCTCTGAGATAGTGTATTGAACTTTACAGAAAAAAAATTTTTTTTCATGAAAAAAAATAATTTGTTAATAAAAACGTATCATCTTATAAAATAAGCAACAATTGGAATCGCACTATGATGGTACCGTAAAAAAACTAAGAAAATAACACTTAAATTATTTAGCATACATAAAACCTGCCGAAAGAAATATTTTATTTGATTTATATAAAACATAACCTAATAATAATTAAGTTATTCAAATTTTTTCCATTTTCATACGATTTTATAAATAATTTATATCCGTTTTATTAATTATGACGTATTTTTATAATATTTCTTTATTTTTGATACCATATTTAATTAATTACACTAAGTAGTTATTAATTTATGTCCTTTTTATAATTAAAATAAAAAAATCCACTGTTCTACATCGTTTTCTTTGCAATGATTGTTTCTAATGTTAATTTTTTCAACCATTTTTTCCTTTGTTTCAGTAGGTACTCTTTTATCAAAAATGCCAAACAAATTAGCTCTTCTATTTGCAAATCTATATTTTTGTAAACATGAAGTTCATGAAGTGTTTTCAAATCATTTTTGGGCGCGCAAGTTGCGTTTGGAGCTTGGAACCAGGCAAATATCTAAACGAAATATAAAAATACAAGTTCTATGCAATGACTTATTTTCATTGTTAGTGAGTTTAAATTGATCCCGAAATAAGAAAATCTTTAGAGAGTACCTATATAGCTTTGTTCATCCATCGGGCATGCTATCTATCTCCACCAAGGTATAAGATGTTTTTCTTTAATTTCTCAACAAATTAGTTTTGGTACTTAGACCCTTTTGAATTAAGTAAATAATATATATATATATATATTTATATTTATATAATTTATCAACTACCTGCTAGTAGGTCCTACTATCAAAATTTAAGAATATTAATTATAATTAATATTCTTAAATAATAATTATTATTGTGGTATGTCAATTTAGCAACATCTAGACAGAATCAAATAATTTTGGTATCAAAATTTGAGAATTGCTGTATGTCAATAATTTTAATAAAATTTAAATTTCTGCTTAAGCCATATCAATGCAGTGAATAATTTTGTAGTTAACGTTATTTTATTTTAGTTGTAAAAAGGACCTAATTTAATAACTACCTAGTTTAATTAATTAAATATGGTATAAAAAATAAAGAAATATTATAAAAATACGTCATAATTAATAAAACGGATATAAATTATTTATAAAATCGGTTA